AGTAAACTACAGCAGCAGTTTTTATTGATTGAAGACCAAATTACTAGATTTTTCTATAAAGCATCAGCTATACATTTACTGAAATGCAACAGTTAGCCCCCCTGTGCAACAGCAGTAAAGATGCGAGCCTGTTTTAATCTGCATTGAACCCTGACGGTAGGCCTATGTCATGCAAAGTTATTTGTTGATAGTGAGTTATGGAGACATTGATGGCTTTGGTGAGATCGACGAGTAAACATAAGGTAAGTAGTGTATGGAAATATATTTTATATTGAATTGCAGATTTAAAATACATACAGTATACAATAAGGGTTCATAATTTCACAGGTTGTAAACCTTTTATTCATTAAACACCCCATATAAAACCCAAGCACTGAATAAGAGTACTAATGTACTCACGCAGGTGCATATACAGTACATTTGCAGATAGCAATAGGTTGTCACCATCCTTGCATAATTCTTTATATGTATACAATACTTGAAGAAATGTACATCGTAAACTTAATATACTTCTTTGCGTGATGGATATCTTATTGTTACTCCCCTTTTACGCAAACATTATGGTTTGTTCTTTTGCAATTTAAAGAAAAGTGCACCGTTATTTCACTGTACTTAAGCGGTACCTTTCATGCTGAATATCTGGTTGTTACCCCCTTATTACCCGAGCATTACAGTTTGTTCCCTCATACCTACACATACGTTCATTATACTTACACAGTACGTACAGAAAAGTACACTGTAATTTCACTGTACTTACGCGGTACTTTGCGGGTTGTAAAAGAAAGCGTTACCGAGCTTTGCTAGTCTGTGTTCCTCCATCAGCAGCTGCAGTGTCTCTCAGCTGAATCAGTGCAGTCAGTGTGAACAGCAGGTTTCTGTACGGCGCTTTATCACTGTGTGAACACTCCACCACTGTGGTAACTCAGACAGTAATAATCTCCAGCATCTTCAGTCTGGACTCCACTGATGCTCAGAGTAAAATCACTGCCATAGTCAGATCCACCACCACTGAATCTAGATGGAGTGTTTGAGTAACGGCTGTTTATATATTTAATCAGGAGTTTAGGAGCTTCTCCAGGTTTCTGCTGATACCAGGACACACAGTTACTACAGCCAGATATGGGCTGACTGGTTTTACAGCTGATGGTCAGAGTTTCTCCTTGTGTGATGGATTTGACTGCTGGACTCTGAGTCACTGTCACTTGTCCCCAACTCTCTGAAATAAAGAGATTTTCCTCATTAGTGGATCTAGAAGTGTAGAAGAGAAGAAGCTGATTATTGATCAGTGCTAATTAATAAGAGGAGAATTACCCTGAATGCAGAGAGTCAGAGTCCAGATGCAGATGCAGATGTTGATCATAGCTGTAGTTGAGTCTGCTGTGATGATGATGATGATGATGATGATGATGAAGATTGTGTTTGTTCTGCTCTCAGTCATCAAGTGTTCAACTCACAGCACTAGAAACACTCTCACACACTCACAATGCAAACCAGTGGGAGGATTTACAACAGCGTCTGCTGATCACCGTCTACACTGATCAATACACCAGCACAGCTACACATCACTGCACACTCACACAGTTATTGATCATCACTGCACTGAAACAGTTTATTTGTGCTGAATTTGAACAAATAAACAACATTTAGTGATGTTCAGCTTCATGTGTGTGTTTAATTCAGCTCATATAAATAGTTTGCAACACTTGACAGATTTAGTAAATCCAGTGACTGGTTTATTTCAGTGTACTGTCAGACTGAGTGTATTTCCCTCTGGACTGGACTGTAGTGAATGTAGAAGCACACAGATGTGGTCAGCAGTGGTTTCTCCTGCTGTAGTGATGAGCCGTGTCTGTGATCTGTCAGTCTCTTTAGATTAAAGCTTCTGCTGAATGATTGACTGTAAATGTCTGATAATGGGCTCAGTTTTCCACACTCAGAGGATTGATGATGTTGTGAACATTATTATTAAAGCTGTCATGTGTTTCTGCATACAGGACAGTCTGTGAGTCTCTGCTGGAGTTTGTGTTCAGTCGACTGGAAAAGAGGTTTTTGTACGAGTGTTTCAGCACATTCAAGCACTGTGGTACACATTCGGTGGAGGAACCAAACTGCTGATCTCAAGTAAGTTTTCTTTAAGTTATTTGTCACTAAAACAGAGAGTTTATACTTTACAAATGTTTTAGAACTGAAATATAAACAGCATTACTGAGTAATAATTGTATTTATTCTGATTATTCAGTCTAAAACACTGATATTGCTGTAAAGTTTGAACTGTATTTCCATAAAGCGTCTCTGATTTTAATCTGTATATCGGTTATAATTTCTCTGAGCTTTAATTTTGCTTTATTCACTTTTAAAATTATATTTATTATTTATATTTGAATGTAAAATGATTATTACTGGTTAATTTATAGTTCATCTGTGCTTAAAAACATCCTAAAACACAGATTTAATATCATAATGTAAATGTAAACACTTTCTGTAGTTCAGTCGGTTATTGAGAGTCATTTTAATCCTTTATAACACAATCTCCAAACTCTTCAATCCAGAAGATTCTCTAGACAAGGAAAGCTCCTGCTTATGATGCATTATAACTCTGTTTATGATCATTTATAATCATTCTATGACTGTATCTGTAAATCTGCAGACATGATCCTGTATTATAATGACAGATATAGCTCATCATCATCATCATCATCATCATCATCATCATGTTTATTCTCGTCTTATTCATATTGATGACTGAAAGCAGTCGATGATGCAGTTATGAAGGTTAATAACGTTATTATGATCCACGATCTGTGTTTATAAAGCAACAGGGCTCTTGTCAACAATAGAGAAGGCTTCATTTATTAGACAGAAGCAGATCTGTTCATCTCCTAATGAGTCTGTAACTGCAGCAGATCAACATGTGAACACGGCATCTTCATAAATCTGATCAGGACTGACTGATGAACACTTCTACATCATCTCGAGTGTTATGAAGACGTCTGTTCACATCACATCAGCACTAATAAGTCTGAATGAGACGAGTATGAGTGTACGTCTGACTGTGCTTCTCATACAGTAGAAGGTTCGTCGTGTCGTTCTAGATCCAGAACTGTTCTGATTGATTATAAATCATCATCAGCAGAGTTCTCCTTCATTATCAGCAGCAGCTTCAGAGAAAGTGTGAGCAAATCTACTTTAGTTTGGAGAAATAATGAGTCCAAATCAAGTCCGTTTCTGCTTCAAACACGCTCCAGAATCTGTCCAATAACCCCATTTCACAGCCCGAAGCAGATTCAGCTCCTCTCCACACTGCAGAGTATTGGACTGCTCTACACAATCTGCTGGAGGGACGAGTTTGGAGATGTTTGGACTAGAAAGAAGGCAGAAAGTGTCATGTGTGGATGTGTTGCAGCGTGCAGCTTTATTCTGGACTGCTTGATTTGTACTGTGTGTTGATTTGGAGCTCATCTTCTCCTGGATATAGAAGAGCTGCTGAAACAGAGCGGCGACATCAGAATGGAGATCAGTCACTGATGATCAATCTCTAATCCAGTGTGTGTGTGTGTGTGTGTGTGTGTGTGTGTGTGTGTGTGTGTGTGTGTGTGTGTGTCTCCCTCTGCAGCTGGTTCCCCAGTGAAGCCCTCAGTGTCTCTGCTCGGCTCCTCTTCTCTGCAGAGCTCTGGAGACTCGGCCGCTCTGCTCTGCCTGCTCAGCTCTTACTCTCCACCGGGGGCGAAGGTGAGCTGGACACGGGACGGCTCTGAGCTCAGCGAGGGGTTCCTGACCAGTGCAGAGAGCCAGCAGGACGGCCGCTACAGCTGCACCAGCGTCCTGAAGCTCAAGAGAGAAGAATGGGAGAAGCGAGAGCGCTACGCCTGCAGAGTCACTCATGCTGGAGGTGATCAGGAGATCCCGTTCCCCAAGTGCTGATCTGTGTGTGTGTGTGTGTGTGTGTGTGTTTCAATAAAGCCTGTTGTTCTTCTGCTCCACACGTGTCTGACAGCGTCCTTCACTCACTCATGCAGATCTGCTCGGTCTCCACTGGAGAATCAGCACACGTTCACACTGCTGGAGTCAATGACTCTGAGTTGTTGCAGCTTCTTCATTCGTGTGTTTTTCCTCAAAGTCTCGTTTCACTTTGCTTCACACTAGAACATTCCAGCAGTCCTGACTGTGCTCCAGAAAGAAATGGCATTGACACAGAGTCCAGATGGAGTTGAGTATTGAGCCGCTGAATATATCTGCTCCTCTAGAAAACTCTCTGCTTGACCCTGAGATCAGAGGAGAGTCTTGCTGTGGAGCGACCTGATCAAGTCCTGTCGTCTGCTGCAGCTACATTCACAAATGAGCCTCAGATTAGAGTTTGGACTCGGCTGAAGATCAAAAATGTCTTTGAATATGAATAAATCTGAACACAAATACATGGACTCACAGGGGAAATGCAGTGTTTGTAGAGCAGCAGTGCCGTGCTGAATGCTGAATAACGCCTCATTAGAGTTAGTGAGGCAGTGGTTGGGTTCAGGTATTGATCAGGGATGTGGAATAAGATCATACTTTATAACTGATGAACAGTTAATATCAGTTCATATCTTCATCATAGGCAGTTGATGAGCCGCTAGTTAATATCCTGAATTGTGCCTTTAATTAAAGTGTTGCCAGAATATTGATTAAAGTGTAACTGGAGCAACATGAGCTGAGCTGTTAGTGTATCTGTACATCAGGACTTTACTTGGAGGAGCTCATCATTATTATTAATATCAGTAACTCATCATTCATAACTCATCAACTCCTGACTTAAACTCTTCATTCTGATGTAGACAGAACACTCTTATAATAATAAGTTAATAATAATAATAATAATAATAATAATAATAGTAATAATAATAATAATGTGCTCCTCCAAGTAAAGTCATGACATTAGCATACATTAACAACTCGTGAGTTCATGTTGGTCCATTTACACTTTTAATGAGTTTCATTAAGCTTAAACTACAGTGTTAAATAATACATTAAATAACAAACCTGAAGTAAGCAGTAATTAAGGTCTTCATTATTGACATATGAACTCATGTTGTAGTTAAGCTTAGTTAATGATTGGCGCTTGCTTTAACTCATCATTAGTTCATAATTACATTACATATCTACATATTAGTACATCATTATTCATGTAGTGTTACTGTACAGTGTTTCCAGGAGAACTGATTATATTAACATTTACCAAATCAACTAACATTTACAGTCTTGATGAAGTGTGTGTGAGGTTTCCTTCATCAGTGTGTGTGTGTGTGTGTGTGTGTGTGTCTCTCAGCTGAATCAGTGCAGTCAGTGTCAACAGCAGGTTTTTGTACGGCGCTTTATCACTGTGTGAACACACAGCTACTACCAGAACAGTCTACATTCTGACAGTAATAATCTGCAGCATCTTCAGTCTGGACTCCACTGATGCTCAGAGTAAAATCTTTTCCAGTATTCACTGTTCCACCACCACTGAATCTAGATGGAGTGTTTGAGTAACGGTTGTTTATCCGATAGATCAGGAGTTTAGGAGTTTCTCCAGGTTTCTGCTGATACCAGGCTAAATAGTTGCTGTATATTCCCACATCTATGTGACACTCTATTGTGGCTGTTTCGTCTTGTTGGACAGTTTTAACTTCAGGTTGAGTCAAAGTGACTCCTGATGATCCTGAAGAAGAGAAAATAAAATGTTTTTTTTTAATATTTCAATTTCATACATCACATTTCCATATTAAAATGCTAAAAATCAAATTCATTCATATTAAACAGAAAAGACTCACCATGAATGAAGACAGCAACGGTCCAGATGCAGATGCAGATGTTGATCATAGCTGTAGTTGAGTCTGCTGTGATGATGATGATGATGATGATGATGATGATGATGAAGATTGTGTTTGTTCTGCTCTCAGTCATCAAGTGTTCAACTCACAGCACTAGAAACACTCTCACACACTCACAATGCAAACCAGTGGGAGGATTTACAACAGCGTCTGCTGATCACCATCTACACTGATCAATACACCAGCACAGCTACACATCACTGCACACTCACACAGTTATTGATCATCACTGCACACTCACACAGTTATTGATTATCACTGCACACTCACACTCAGTGTCATTCTGACTGGCTTTACTGTAGTCGCTGTAGAAATCAACTCTTCACACTTGTTCACACACTCGTCTTCAGCTGTAAATGCCAGTAAAGCTCAATAATGAGACTGAAATTAATAAAAACAAAACACCTGAATAAATATTAATTTGCACACATTTACACAACTAAATATTTTTAAATATTCCCCAAATGATGTTGAACAGATTCAGGAAATGTTCACAGTATGTCTGATAGTATTTCTTCTTCTGGAGTAAGTCTATTTGTTTTATTCAGGCTAAAATTAAGGCAGTTTTTAATCTTTTAAACTCCATTTAAGCTCAATATTATTCGCCCCTTAAATCTATATTTATTTTCGATAGTCTCCAGAACAAACCATCATTATACAATAACTTGCCTGATTACCCTAACCTGCCTAGTTACCCTAATTACCCTAGTGAAGCCTTTAAATGTCACTTTAAGCTGTATAGAAGTGTCTTAAAGAATATCTAGTCTAATATTATTTACTGTCATCATGACAAAGAGAAAATAAATCAGTTATTAGATGAGTTATTAACACTATTATGTGCAGAAATGTGTTGGAGAAATCTGCGCTTTGCTAAACAGAAATTGGGGAAAAATAAACAGGGGAATAATTCTGACCTCATATATTAATCTGTGAATCTGTTAATCAGATTACTGACCACTACAATATCATAACAGTTGAGTTCACACTGGTATTTGTTCTTTAAAGAGTTTGTTCTGCTCTTTACCTTTTCATATATTAAATGTGCAATAATCACAGTAATTTTTATAATTATTTAAAGCACATTCAGCCTCAAATGTTCATCCAAATCCATTATATCAACGCTTCAAATCAGGTTTTCTCATGTAAGTGATTTTTGTTCATGCTCATTCACTTTATTATTTCTTAAATACATTAATGTAACCAGTTATTTTAATCTAGATGCCAACAAACATTAAAAACAAACTATTTTCAATAAAAGGCTTATCTGTGTGTGCGTGTTTTAAGATTAATTGTTAATAACAAGCTCAAAAACCTATTTAGTTGCATGTTTCACCACGGAGCTTTTAATAAAGTTTGATATTTAAAAATAGAATAAGTATGTGGCTGATGGTTTAATGTGTGATAATGCTTCTTCATGCTGATATATCTTGAATATGAGCAGTTGTTATAGTCACTCAGGTGGTAGTTTCAGTGACTATGAATAAGAGTGTTCTCCTGCTGGTTAGTGAAGTGTGAAGGTGCAGATATTTGCCTGATGAGCTCCAGTGACTGCAGATGTTCAGCAGCTTCATCTCCAGCATCTCACACTCAGTTCCTGGAGGACTGCAGCTCCAACCCTGATTAAACACACCTGATCAAACTAATCAAGCTGTTCAGAACTGCAGTGTGTTCATCAGCAAACACACCGTCTTAGAGGAAAGAGTGTGTGTGTGTAGAAGACTCTAGTGCTCAAGTGTGGAGCTGCAGGATTATAGACACTGACTTACTGATGGAGATCATTCTAGAGAGCTGTTATCTTCATATTTTAGTCCACTTTAGGGATATTAGATTGTATCTGTATTGTTTATTTAGTAATTATTGACAGATAAAGTGTGTGTCCCTCTTTCAGTGTGTGCGTTCCTTAGTGTCTCTCAGCTGAATCAGTGCAGTCAGTGTGAACAGCAGGTTTTTGTACGGCGCTTTATCACTGTGTGAACACCCAACTATCACTGATCTTGTTTACACTCAGACAGTAATAATCTCCAGCATCTTCAGTCTGGACTCCACTGATGATCAGAGTAAAATCACTGCCAAAGTTAGATCCTACACCACTGAATCTAGATGGAGTGTTTGAGTAAGGGCTGCTTATATCATAGATGAGGAGTTTAGGGGTTTCTCCAGGTTTCTGCTGATACCAGGACACACAGTCACTACAGCCAGACACCAGCGGAGTAGTTTTGCAGCTGATGGTCAGAGTTTCTCCTTGTGTGATGGATCTGACTGCTGGACTCTGAGTCACTGTCACTTGTCCCCAACTCTCTGAAATAAAGAGATTTTCCTCATTAGTGGATCTTGAAGTGTAGAAGAGAAGAAGCTGTTTATTGATCAGTGCTAATTAATAAGAGGAGAATTACCCTGAATGCAGAGAGTCAGAGTCCAGATGCAGATGCAGATGTTGATCATAGCTGTAGTTGAGTCTGCTGTGATGATGATGATGATGATGATGATGATGATGATGAAGATTGTGTTTGTTCTGCTCTCAGTCATCAAGTGTTCAACTCACAGCACTAGAAACACTCTCACACACTCACAATGCAAACTCCCTCTCTCTAGTCAAATCATGGAGCTCAACACTGCAGATCAGTCTGACATGAAACAACACTTCACCTGAGGATAAGAAGCATGTAAAGGTGTGATAAACAACACAGAGGCTGAAATCAAAAACTGAAGCCTACATATCAAACACACTTTAAACACAAAAGACTTATTAAAAGATCACAGTTTGGCCTCAAAATACTCAATAATTTTCATCTGAAATCTTCATGAAATCTCTATCCTTAACTTTTTCGTAATTTTAAACAATCACATTTATTAAAATGGCTCATATTTGATATATTTTGATAAGCACAGCTCAAAATATGGATTTAATTTTAACATGTTTGTTACTCCATGATGAGGAAGAGTTTCACCCATATTGTAATCCTTATTTGAAGCACTGGACACTTTACTTGCACTTCATGTTTTCTTTTTATAACAGAAATCACTTTTTCTTGTTGATTTCATCAGTCAATGGGATGCTTCGTCTTTTTTGACACACTTTTTTATTGATCAGTGTGTGGTCATTTAATCTCATTTCTCTATAGAGGCAATGGAGATGAACGTGTGTGTGTAATTAAACCCTCTGAATGAGTGAATGAGCTCCAGCTGTGTGTGTGTTTTGTAAATATGAAATATGTGGTGTGTGTGTGTGTGTGTGTGTGTGGAGTTTTATCGCCCTCTGCTGCTCATTTAGCATAGTGTGCTTAAAACTCTGAATAACCTGATTATAAAACACCTTTGCTAGCCCTACACAGAGGAGAAAACCCTTTAAGCTCTAGTTTACAATAATATATTAGAAGCAGAAACACAATTATGCTGAATAATGCAATAATTATAGTCATTCCTGCTTCAGAGATAAACAACACCAGATTCTCACATCATTCAGACACAGATAAAAGTGGTCACTAACAGGACAGATACTGGGTAAACAAAAGTACAACCCAGAAATTCCAGATGGAAATGATCTAGATTCACGTGAGCTGCTTCTAGATTGGTTTATAAGTGAATTAAATCTGTTTTTACACTAGCAAGAATGACTCTGAAACTCTTTTACATTGGAAGTGATCAAGGGAAATTAGGTTTTTCAGTTTAGAGTTTCTCAATATCTTTTAGACTGTGTACTGAAATATCTAAAACAGACATAAAATGTTTGAAAACTACAGTATATAGATTTTATATAAATAGTAAAGCAAAAACAAACAACTTATCTTGATGATATTGCACTTTTTTTGGTTTTATTTTGAAAATGTAGTTAGTATATCTTTGTTTTGTAAGATGTGTGTTGAAATCAGTCACTGCAGATCTAAACCGATTGAGTTCATACACAATAGTTCATATTCTTATTTATTTATAGGTTTTAGTGTGTGTGGAATTGCGGATTTGAGTTTTAGTTTTGGATTAAACACTGGCGTATCTGTGTGGAGATTCTGTCTGATTGCTCTGAGCTGCTGGATGATTATTGTTAATGAACATCTGCTGCATGTCGTTAAGATTGTCTTCAAAGTCTCAGTGATGAGGACAGAAATTACCTGAGAAGTCTGAGAATGACAGAACTTTAGCATAAGACAGAAATGTGTGTCTTTGGGCAGAAGACGATTCACTGAAATCACTAATGCAGAAATCTTTCACACTAAGAAATGGCTAGAAGAATTAGAATTCACATTGAGTTAAATACTGAAGCACAAAGACTGAAACTGTGTTTTCTTATAAAACATACTTCAAAAATCTTTATTGTTTATTTACAACTTTTGAAAACATCATTTATTTATTTTTGGCATAGTTGGTGAATTTACAACCAAATGCTGTAATGATGACTTTAAATTTGGGTTTTAGGCTCTCAGATTATTTGAGAAGTGTTATAATTTCCCAACACAAACTTGATATGATTATAAACATCTGCACCAATTTTAAAGAAACAGAAGTGAACGGCTAAGGAGAAGCCCCAATGAGAACTCGAGCTCATTCCTGCTTCACTGCATCTCCAGTTTCAGTCAAATACAGCAGACTTCATCAGCTCATGGAAATCTGCTATCATGACACAAAGACACACTAAAAAGTCTAATAGATGTCTAATTATAGACACCTTGGCTAAAACAAGGCTAAATTCGTTAAGTCAATTTGGCTCAATTTTAAATCAGTGAGCATCTAATAGATGTATAAGAATAACCCAAAACTAGAGTAGTCATCAAATGCACAGGAACAAATGACTACACATCTATCAAGTCTAATCAGTCTGATGATTAGTCTAAATTTGGCCTATTCTTAAATGTCTTTCAGATTTTTCATTGGCAACCTATATTTAACCTTGTTTTAGCAAAGACAACAAAGACGTCTATAATATTCAGAATTGCTTGGTGGAGATCTACCACAATCACAGATCAGTCTTTATTTACAACTTCTGAAAATGTTTTTGTTGCAGTGTTGAATCAACAACCAAATGCTGTAATAACGTCTTTAAATTTGTGTTTTAGGCTCTCAGATAATTTGAGCCGTGTTAAAATTTCCCAACACAAACCTAATATGATAATAAACATCTGCACCAATGTTAAAGAAACAGAAGTGAGCGGATGAGGAGAAACCCCAATGAGAACTTGAGCTCATTCCTGCTTCACTGCATCTCCAGTTTCAGTCCAATATGGCAGCTCATGGAAATCATCTATCATCAAGACGCCTTAAAAAGAAGTTTAATAGATGTATAAATATAGATGCCTTGGCTAAAACAAGCCAATATTTTAACTCAAGTTAAGCTTCATTGGCTCAGTTTTACATTTGGGATGTCACTGATGAAAATCTAATAATAGACTCAACTAGACTAGTCATCAAATGCACAGGAATAAGTGACCACATCTATCTAATCGGTCTATTTGATGATTACAGCCAGGATATCTATGCTTAGATGTCTATTAAACAAAATTGCTTGGTGGGAATCTACCGTAATCAAAGGCCAAGTGCTGCAGATTAAGCGTAAAGGAGAAGTTTAACATTCTCAGTGCTGTGAAGATGATCACGCAGAGAACAGCATGAGGAAGTACTACAATATCAACATAAAGACGGATTCTGCATTAGGCCTTGATCACACCGAATGCCTTTTTTGCGATGAGGGGTGGCTTTTTTCATGGTTTTCTAATGGCTGCAAGTGTTTTGCATGCTGCACCTCGTGTTTCAACCACCCGCAGATAAAAATGACTTTTTTCATTGTCCAATCAAATGAAAGCAGAGGCGGGGTTTGCATTGAGGTGACGGCAGTGTTTGTGTTGACAAGACGACTACTGAGCTTTTTAATGATGGCGGAGAGACTAGCAGTCGCTGTTTCGAGTTATGCGGAGCTGTATGACTTCACAAATCCTGAATATCACTGTAATATCCCAGCAGGCACACAACATCATAAGACTTAAAATCAGGTTAGATTTAGATCATGACGTCAGGTGACTAAAATTCAATGTCTTGCCGCGTCTGAGGACAACGTTATTTTGACGTCCAATAACGACAGCAAATTACGTTGATATTTGGTTGATTTTAGGTTGTGTTGGAAAGTGACTAAAATTTAACATCTGACAGACGTCATAGTGGTAACGTCCTAGGTGTAACATGATGTGTAGACATTGATATTTGGTTGATTTTAGGTTGGACATTGACGTCAGCCTGATGTTGGTTCTGACATCAACCCGATTTTCATTTCCAAACCAAACCCAACATCCCTTGGGGTACGTTGGTGTACAATGTCAATATGACGTCATGTTGACATCCTGTGCCTGCAGGAAATACTATAACAATAACAGCACAATGCACAGCTGATTCAGTGGTCGCCTAGCAACATAAAAAGCGCAGAGCACTTCTTTTTTTCTTGTCGACAAAGGCAGTGCGGTTTTCAGAACAGAAAAGAGCATTCGGTGTGATCGACCCATATTCATCAGACACTCTCCATCAGACACTAAACTTCAACAGCTGGATGGAGATCCTCATAATGCTCGAGTCCTGGAGGAAGTCTACATCAGTCCTCCATCATTCTCAGACATTGGTTCTGTCTGTGTGTCTGCAGTGCTCATGTGTCCTCCCTCCTCCATAAGAGTTCTTCATCATGGAGTCCTTCACACTGGTGCTGGAGGTGATGATGATGATGGAAGTGCTGGTGATGGAGGTGCTGGTGGAGTCTCCTCTACACTGGTAACGCTGGTCTGTGTTTGAGCTTCTGCAGGTTCCTCTGGTTCCTCATATCCAGGCGGTTCTCTGTCGGGTGGAGGGTAGGGCGGAGGCGGGAGGTCAAACCACACGGGTCGACTGTAGAAAACAGAAGAGAGTATTGGATATCAAGCTTCGATTACGATTATCACGTCATTGATTGTGTTCAATTCGATATCGCCATGCATTGATCATTTCCATCCACAATGTTTCATTCTACTTCACAAGACTAGGATTGTATAGAAAGTTCTGTTGTGAAACTCTATGCAGTGCACGAATAAGCTTAATCGATAGAGTCAGCACAGCGCTCTGCATGTGTGTGTGTTCCTGTGAGCGTACCCAGAGTCCCGTACGGCCTGCGAGTATGACGGAGGCAGGTCTGCTGGAGCTCCAGGACAGCGGGACGGGTGGAGAAGGTGTCCTCGCTCCACTATCAGCAGCCGGGAGAGCAGCAGGGGTTGGTGGCAGGAGCCGCGGTACACCCTCTGGGGCAGCAGGACGCTGCGCTTCCTCTGATGGTGCAGCACCAGAGCCAACAGCGCCACCACCAGCACAAAGATGATGGCGCTGCCGATCACTGCGTATGTGATGCTGGGGTAATAGCGCAGACGATAGTCCAGAGTGCCCAACATGTGTTCCGGAGACTCTGGAGGAACAGCCCAAAACATGGAACATGTTCAGTTGCAGGATAACATACGAGTGAAGTAACTGAGGGCGGTGCAGTGGGTAACACAATTCACTTGCAGCAAGAAGGTCACTGGTTTGAGTCTCGGCTGGGTCAGTTGGTGTTTCTGTGTAGAGTTTGCATGTTCTCCCCGTGTTGGCGTTGGTTTCCTCCGGGTGCTCCGGTTTCCCCCACAGTCCAAACACATGCACTATAGGGGAACTGATCAACTACACTGGCTGTAGTGTATGAGTGTGAATGAGTGTGTATGGGTGTTTCCCAGTACTGGGTTGCAGATCTGCTGTGTAAAACATATGCTGGAATAGTTGGCGGTTCATTCCACTGTGGCGACCCCTAATGAATAAAGGGACGAAGCCGAAAGGAAAACGAATGAATGAATGAACTAACTGAGGCTGCGTCTCCATATGCACACTAGCTCAGGAGTGCGTTCATCAGTAGGTGGTGTGGACATTAGTAAGGGCACTGATGAGCTTGATTCACTATACTGAGTGTAAGATGAACGTTCTCATACTCAAAACTGGAGTTTATAAGCATTCAGCAGAAGATAGTTTTCATATTTTACCATGTTTTTAGAAGTACATTACAGCTAAATTATTGGATTGTTTCATAAACCAGAGTCTAAATTGGTCTGATATGGATATTTGTTGAGAAGTTTTGTTCCTAAACAGCAAACTCAGTGTTACACCCCTGCTCAGATTATGGTACACTCCAATCTCCTCATTCAATCTCTGGCCAATCAGGACTGCCTGAAGGGCTTTATTAACTGCACCTGTGCCCACAGTTAGCTATTTTCTGGCAGCACATGGCTGAACTGTGCAGAGGACTGAATTTGACCATGCGTATTTGACCATGTGAGTGGCTTTTGTTTAAGTGCTCATATGTTTCATGTTTACCGTATTTTCTGTTTAGATATGTACTTTGTTGGTAGACTGAATCATTGTATTTCTGTTATTTCCTTGCAGAAATCCTTACACACACTCTCACACACACATGCATATACACACAGACACACACAAACACACCTTTCCTCCTGAGTACAAATCCTTGTGGACTTGTTAATAAGCACAACTAAATGGAGTGATTAGACTGGACCTCTGTTCTTAACGACAGCCCCACTGGCTTCAAGCTAGCTACCTATACAAGCTACCTCCTAACCTCCTTTTCAATATTTATAGTTCTAAAGTGGTTTTATTAAGAATCTGTTGGGGTATTTAGGGGTTCTGATGAGGTCTGATGAAATGTTGTATGGTTATATTATGTATCTAAGTTTTCTAATGAGTCTTTAGGGATTTGATCTGGTCTGATGAGGTCTTATGTGGGTTTTATTCAGTGGCGTAGCGCAAAATGCAGCGCCCCCCCTGCACAGATTAGGCCCGGGATTAGATGTGGGCCCGTCCGCTACGCTACTGGTTTTATTAGGATCTTAACATGTCCGATTAATAAACACTGGCATTCTGACAAGGTCTAAGTATGTATGATGATGTGTTATATTAGAGTATGGTGGGTTTTCTGAGTCTGAATTGGTCTGGTTGGATATATTTAGGGGTTCTGATATGGTCCAATGATGTCTCATGTGGTTTCATTAGGGTTTGAAGAGGTCTAGTGGAGTATTGGGTTCTGATATGGTCTTTTATGTTTGAGTGAGAGACTCGAGCGGTCTAATAGGGTGTTTTGATATTTACATGTTTCTAATGAGGTCTGGCGGGTATATGTCATCTTCATTGTTTGTGTGGGGCTGAGTGATGGACACACACCCACTGACTGTGTATTCGTTACTGACCACTGGAAGCTCAAAAGTGTTTAGAACCAAATAAGAACCCAAATTATCCTCATGTTTATGTTCAATTTTGCTCTAAATTACGCTGTTTCAGTTCTGTTTTCAAATATGAAGTATACAACAGGACTAACCTGAAGGGGTTAAAATAACTCAACTATCAGACAAGGCCTAAACAGAGCCAATCTTGAGTGCTCATGTGTCTCAGATGCTTTGACTGAAGGTGAGCTGTGTTCCGCTCAGCAGTGTGCGAGTCGTGCGTCTGTACCTGCGGTCGTGAGGCAGTTTTCCTCATCGCTGTTGTCTTGACAGTTGTCCTGACCGTTGCACAGAAAGCTGCGGTCCACACATCGGCCGTTGGCGCAGTGGAAGCGCAGCGATGAACACAGCAGCGGGTGTGCAGCTGACACACACACACACACAGAGAGAGATGAAGAAAACACCACACATAAGTGGAGCATTGATGCATGCACACACTCACTGCAGTTGTCCTCGTCGCTGCCGTCCGGACAGTCTCTGAAGCCGTTGCACTGGAAGCGGCCGATGATGCAGTGAACGCCGTTAGCACAGGAGAAGAAGGTGGACGCACACTTAGACTTCAGCTTCACTGAGACACACAAGCAAATGAACACGCACTATAAGAGGTGCGAACCGTGAATAAATACTTGACAATACTTTGCTATCTGAATCTGACTCCTTTATCAATTGATGAATTTTAAGACCAAGACATATGTCCTAAACACAGGAGATTCCTGACAGTCAGTCCTCATGCTGCCACCTGTTCTTCATGCGTTGGAGACCAACACTGCATAATCGATTTACTTTCTGATGTGTCGGTTAATCCTGATGTGTAGTGCTTTAACTTAAACTATGAAGAGCAGACTTACAGCACCCGCGCTCGTCACTGCGGTCAGCACAGTCCGGATACCCGTCACACTGTCCTGCGGCTGGAACACACTCTCCATCCGCACACATGAAGCTGCCCGGAGCACTGCAGTGCCATGAAGAGTTTCCTCCAGGAGATACCTGACAATCTGAACAACACAGACCTCCAGATGGAGATTACAGAAGACTACAGCTTCACAGAACAGTCGCCACTAAGAGACAAAGGGCCAGAGGAAGTAAAATATCGTTGTTTAGATGTTAGCATCAGTGTGTTCACTCCAAAAAATGCTTTTCTTCATTGGATTCGGTTTTATTTCAAGTCCAAATAACTCATTTTCCTTTAGCTTAGTCCCTTATTTATCAGGGGTCACCCGAGCAGAATGAACCACTAAATATTCTGGAATATCAAAGTCCAATTCCTGAGAAAACGTACTCAACTACAGTCAATTGAGCATTGGTGATTTGTTGATTAACACCACTGATCACAGGTCAGGAATTATGGCTAACCGTTATATGTTTCTGCTTCACATGTGTCTGTAAATCCTGCGTTAACCAGCAGTGAATGAAGCTCTTCTCCATGTGGATAATGTTGATCTATGTTGATCTGTAATTTCAGCACAGCAGCCTCTTATGCTGAATTTCAGAACAATAAGAGCTCTTGAACTGAAACAATCTGGCATGTAAAAGCTGATTTTACAGTATAAAGAGCATGAAAAATAAACAGATTGGAAATCTCATGACCTCACATTCACTGCACACAGAACTTTGATCTGAGAAATATAGAGTCAACTATTGCATGTCAGACTATACTAAACCAGCATACAGGCCTGAAAAACTGCGGGAAAACAGTCGGCTCTTACTTTATTATTACAGATTTAAGAGTTTGAATTAGATTTATTATTAATAATTCGTTCTTGTTTCGTTGATGTCTATGTTTTTATTTATTTATTTGGTCTGTTTTTGGCTATTTTAAGGCGTAAATATTTCCTTAAAAACTTAAATTAATTAATCTATAAATACTGTTTGCAGTTCGACAGAAAAGTTGCCACCAGGGAATACATAAACAAAAATTAAACATATTTACATATGCCCGTACTGAATATTAAAGGTTTTATAAGTTCTTTCTGCCACCCCTACTGAAAAAAACAGCTTTAACTAGTCCAGACTGATTGGCTGGTTTTAGCTGGTCAACCAGGCTGGTTTTAGAGGGGTTTTGGCCACTTCCAGGCTGGTTTCCAGCCCGGTCTTAGCTGGTCAGGCTGGGAGATGACCAGCTAAAACCAGCTTGACCAGCCTAGCCAGGCTGGGAGTCCAGCCAAAACCAGCTATGTCCAGCTTAAACCAGGCTGGAAATGGCCAAAACCCCTCTAATACCAGGCTGGTCAACCAGCTAAAACCAGCCTAAGCTGGTTTACACTGTTTTTTTTAGCAGGGAAAAACTAATACTAAAATATGGTCAGTTATGAATGAACATCTCACTTATGAATTCAGTTTATTTCTCACCATTTCCACCTTTTCTGAGTTTAATGCTTGCAGTTTTAGTTAACTATAACACTGTTTATAAGTTTAATCAACTACACATTTAAGAAGAGCCCCTGAGTTTAGTGAACACATGTAGTGTGTATGAAAATCCCTGTGCAAACTGTTGCTGCTGAATGCAGTAGCGGTGTCCGGCTCTGTTCATCAGTGAACTGTTGCTTCATGTGACCTTCAGCAGATGTGCTGTAATCTGATGTTTTCTGATGAATCTAAAAGAGAGTAATAACCCGATCTGACGAGCTTCGACATCATGAAAACATTATAAATGATTTATTCACAGATCTGTTAGCAGCAGGCTTGTTGTTGTTATTAGCCAGTAAAGCTACTAACTAGCTGAGTGAACTAGTCGTGCGGGGGGAGGGGCGCGCGGCGCTGCGGCTTTATAACCGTTACTTCACGCAACTAACGTAAAGTTATATAAAAAATATATATAAAAGTGCGTCTGTAGGAAAACACGACGACCGAGAGCCCAAACACCGTAAACATGGCGCTGCGGACGGTCATTTAGGCGAACAATAGACGGTGACTCACCGACCGAGCCCGAACCCAGCAGAAAATACCAGATCCACATCCTGAGGCGGCCGATCCGGTCCGCCCTGTGCCGAGGCTGGAGCGGGGTTTCCTGGCGGAGTGTCCGGGTGTGGAGCTCCGAGAGGCGGCTTGATTCTGCTGTCGGACAGCCCGAGGAGGAGCAGCGGCGGGAGGAGGTCAGAAACACTGATCTGGGGCAGAAAAGGCGGAGACATTTCAGCTTTACACACAAACATCTCCGGGCTTTACTGCTGGAGACTGCTCTGGGTAAAGCAGAGTTTCACACAATCCATTCAGGCTGTCCTAACACATCCATTAAGTTAACGTAACAAATGTAAGTGGATGGAACATAAAACAATTCAGCGGTCCCAAAAAAATCTCAAGAGTTGTGTTGTTTCAGCTTGTTTAAAACAAGTAGAGAACTGCAGATATGCCTGATTTCTGACGCTTATTATTCTTATTATCTGAAAGAACACAAAAAATCTTATTTAATTTATGTTTTACTTTGTTTGTTGATTTTTAAATTGTATATTTATTGTTGAAAGATTCCTGCCATGAAAATAGCCTTGGTTGCTGACATGGCATTAAAAAAACAAACATATTATCTGAAAGAAAAGCTCTGCTCCATCTGCCCAGGAGAAGCAGTTTATTTATTTAATCTCAATAGTTGTTCATAACCTATAACAGGTCAGATATTTTTTCCCTTATGAATGGTTGACTTTTTATATCAGGCTCTATTTACATCTCTACACTCTTTAAGTTTATATCTTAAAACTTAAAAGATAGTTTCTGTCTCAGAATTAATTCATCTACATCTTGAATGTCTGACTTACATCAGAATTTTACATTTACTTTTTGAAATTGACATTTTGAGTTTCCCTAAGTCTCAAAATTCTGACTTTTCCTCCAGAATATTGAGTTTACATCTTTAAACTCTGACCTTTTGTCTTAAGTCTCAACATTTTTTTGACTTTTATCTCTGAATTCCTAATTTACATCTAAAAATTCTGACTTTTTAGCTCAAAATTTATGAGTTTGTCTGAAAATCCTGACTTTTTTCATAGAAATTTTAGAGTTTTTTAAAAATAAAATCTTTTTGAATATTTATTTCAGAAATCTTAAATTACATTTTAAAATCCTGAATTTGTGATATCTGTGTTTACATAACATTTTTAGAGTTCTGACATAACATTTTAAAAATGTTGACATTTTTATAGCAGTTCTGAGTTTACTCAATAAGTGTAATGAGTTTACATTTCGAAATCCAGAATTTTTATATCGGAATTCAAAGTTTGCATCTCGAAATTATGAGTTTTTAGAAATAGAAAATCAGAACTCACATCTCTAGTATTTTCTAAAAAGACTGCAAACTAAAAAAGTGACACTTTACTTTTCTCAGAACAATAAAGACATGACAATAAAGATTTAAAAAAATGAAAATAAATGATTTTATTTGATTACAGTCGAGAGAAGCAAATGTGTGAATGAGCATCTTACAGCTATTAAAGAGCTCGTCAAATATACAGTATAATAATGACTGACAGGTTTCCCATGAGCAACCCTTCATTTAGAGATCGACTTATCCCAAAACTGAAAGAAAGGAACATCATTAAGACTCAGCAAACACACACGTTCACCTGCTTTCAGAACCAGAACTGAAGTATATCTGATGAACTTGAGCATGGGGGAGTCTGGAAACACACAGAGAAAGAAAATATCCAGCGGATTCATTCTAGTGTCTGCATAGAGTCAAATTTACACAAAGATATCAAAACATGTGTAAAAGAAATGTTCATCATCATCATTCAGCTTAACAGTTACGTCATAACATCATTATTCAGAGCTGCGATTACCAAATACCAGAGAATTAGACTGAAACTCACAGGAGGAAATGTAGGATGGACAATGTTTGGCCTGAAGGTTTAACCTACATTATTTTGTGTAAATATGACACTCACAAATGTTAGAAAACACCAAAAGAATAATTCTGCTGTAAATCATGTAGGATGATGATGTTTTGACTCAAAAGATGTTTTGACATTTTAATCAGAGAGATTTGAGTTTGCGTCTCGATATTCTCACATTTTATTTAGATTTTACTTCTCGAAATTCAGACTTTTTACTGGAATTCAGTGTTTTAATCTGGGAATTCTGAGCTACATCTCAATTCAGATTTTTCCTCTGGAGTTTTGAGATTATGTCTTTAAATTCTGACTTTTTGCCTGGAATTTATATTTCATGTCTCAATATTTTTTCTACTTTTTATCTCTAAAATCTTAATTCACATTTCAAAATTCTTGTTTGTCTCAATATTTGCTAAATTCTGAGTTGACATGTTACGAATGCAAGACTCTGAATTTCAGCTTTACATTTGAGAGTTTGTTTAGAAATTGTCAATTCTGAATTTACTCATAATTTTGCGTTTTTATTTCAGAGTTTGTTTCATTATTCAGATTTGTTTTATATTGAAATAAGGGTTAGAGTTTCATTCATTCGTTTTCTTTTTGGCTCAGTCCCTTTATTAATCAGGGGTCGCCACAGCGGAATGAACCGCCAACTATTCCAGCATATGTTTTACACAGCGAATTCCCTTTCAGCTGCAACCCAGTACTGGGACAGAAATTCTGAGAGTACATCTTTATATTGAGACGTCTGACTGGAATTCAGAGCTGACGTCTACATTTTTTGACTCCTTGGTTTCAAAGACTTTCTCTGTAGGAGTTTACATCTCAATATTTGCACTTTTTAATTGGAATTTACATCTCAAAATTGAGTATTTCATATCATATTTCAGAGTTTTTATTTCATAATACTTCTCGAAAATTCAGACTTTTTATCTTGGAATTCAGATTTTTCCAGTATTTTAAATCTGGGAATTGTGAGTTCACAACTCAACATTTAACTCTGTTTAGCCTCATAAAAAACCGTTTTACACTTGAATGATCTGTATTTACACCTATAATATAATGTACAGTGTAATGAAGGCAATGCAGAGCAATATAAGACACAATTTCATCAACCAAATAATAAATCCAGCATGTAGTTATTATACACACAAATGCAAAAAATTCAATAAACCGAAACAAAAATGATTAAAAAGTCCACTAGATCTTCATGAAAATAATGAACTGATAAAGACAGCACATTCTTCAAGAGTTTGGTGTTTGTTCCTGCATTTGATTCTGTGTTTGTCTCCATTCCTGAAGAGAGAGCTGCGTTCAGGGTGTGTGTCCGACGTGTGCGTCTCCTCTGTCTTCAACAGCTGACGGAGCGTCAGGATTCCTCCTCTGATCCGCAACTCTGAAAAACACAAACATCATCATCATCATCATCATCATCAAACACACACACACATCAGCAGAGTTTCACAGGACACACTCACCTGAGCCGCACATCAGGATCCTGAAACACAGAGCGGAGAGCAGGAGTTAAGAGACGTTCACACTGATCATATCTGTGTCCACACTAATCATCTGCTGTTCACGCTTCTCTACTTGCAGTACCCTCTCGTAACCAGCAGGGGTGTGCCCTGTCTTTGTGCTGTGTGTGTGTGTGTGTTTGTATGTGTTTCTGACCGCTCGTCCTCCTGCATCCTCCTCTCTGCGGGCCAGCAGTGGAGCCAGCAGCGCTGCAGGGGCTCCTCCGTCCTCCTCCACCTGCTCCATCTGCTGGAGTGTGTGTGTGATAGAGTCCATCTCCTCCTGCAGCGTCTGTGTGTGCGCGCTGATCTCCGAGATCTTCTCCGCAGCCTGAGCGGTCAGGAAGGCCTCCTTCAGGTCCACCAGATGCAGCACGCGCCACTCCTCCAGACGCACCAGGCGCTGCAGCTCGTCAAACTGCTGGTTCACGTACGCCTCCAGCTCCTCCATGCTCATCTACACACACACACACACACACATATATATGAAAGTGTGTGATTTAGGTGTGTTACTCCTCACACTGTTGATCAGCTGTAACACACTCACATCTGGACTGGCCCATTTAGCCTTGATCCTCTCCGAGATTTCATGAGTCTGTTCCAGCAGATCAATGCCTTCTTTACTCTGAAACACACACACACACACACACACACACACACACACACACACACACACACACACACACACACACACACACACACACACACAGATGAGTGAGCATTCCATCTGATTACACTTGATAATATGTGTTTACACACGTGTGTTGTTTCTGTGTGTGTGTGTGTGTGTGTGTGTGTGAGACCTTCTGCCACAGGTATGCCTCTCTCAGTGTGATGATCTGGTGTCCTCGGTGTTCCCCCTGCACGGCACACAGCACACAGATGATGCGCTGGTCGTGTTTGCAGTATAGCGCCCCCTCCTGGCCGTGATCTCTGCACTTCAGCCGCTCCACGCTCACAGTCTCCCTGCGCCCGTCCGGCGGGAGCGCTGCAGCCTGCGGCTCAGCGGAGTGTGTGTCTGCCTCTGCGCTGCTGTAGGGCTGCAGTGTGTGTGCGGTGCTTTGTGTGTGTGCGTCTGCGTGGCTGGAGCAGAAGGCGAAGCGGCAGCGCACACACATCCACAGCGCAGACTCCGCCTCGTCCGGCTCGCAGGCGTCACACGTGCCGTCCATCTGCGGCAGATCCTCCTCCAACATACACACGTCCATACTGCAGCTCGGAGACTCTGAACACAGCATCACAACACACATCATACACACTCGCAGAGTACTACATGCACTACAGTGATTTTATATAGGGAAATCGAACTAAATGCACTGAAGTGATTATATACACTCACCGGCCACTTTATTAGGTACACCTGTTCAACTGCTCATTAACACTAATGTCTAATCAGCCAATCACAGGGCAGTAGCTCACTGCATTTCGGCATGTAGACATGGTCAAGAGGATCTGCTGCAGTTAAAGCGAGCATCAGAATGGGGAAGAAAGGGGATTTAAGAGACTCTGAACGTGGCATGGTTGTTGCTGCCAGACGGGCTGCTCTGAGTATTTCAGAAACTGCTGATCTACTGGGATTTTCACGCACAACCATCTCTAGGGTTTACAGAGAACGCTCCGACAAAGAGGAAATATCCAGTGAGCGGCAGTTCTGTGGGCGCAAATGCCTTGTTGATGAGGTCAGAGGTCAGAGGAGAATGGCCAGACTGGTTCCAGCTGATAGAAAGGCGACAGTAACTCAAATAAGCACTCGCTACAACCGAGCTCTGCAGAAGAGCATCTCTGAACACACAACATAAAGCTCAATCATCTCAGACTGGTTTCTTGAACATGATGATGAGTTCACTGTACTCAAATGGCCTCCACAGTCACCAGAGCTCAATCCAATAGAGCAGCTTTGGGATGTGGTGGAACGGGAGATTGGCATCATGGATGTGCAGCCGACAAATCTGCAGCAACTGCATGTCAACATGGAGCAAAATCTTTGAGGAATATTTCCAGTAGCTTGACGAATCCACAACACCAAGGATTAAGGCATTGCTGAAGGCAAAAGAGGTCCGACCCGGTACTAGTAAGGTGTACCTAATAAAGTGGCCGGTGAGTGTATATGCACAGAAAACTAATGAAACGTCCAATTGATGTGAGTTTTTTTGATGTGTGCACTGACTAATCTAATATATCTGCACAGTTATATTACTGTATAACAAATATGAATGTAAAAGAGAAATCTGAGAGGGGTCAACTTAATTTTGATGAACACTGTGACTTTGTATGAGTATAAAACAAATTAAATGCACAAAAGGGATTTGCTATGCATAGAAATATAATTAAATTATGTACAAAAGTGATTTAATATAAATGCGCATGTAAAAATAATGCACAAAAGAAGTTATTGTATGTGTATAGAAAACAAGTTAAATATACAAGTGATTTTATATGCATAAAAACAATTCAAATTGACAAAAAAAAGTGATTGTATATGCATGGAAATAAAATAAAGTGCACTAAAAGGGATTTTATATGCGTGTGAAAATAATTATGCAAAAGAAGTAATTGTATATGCATGGAAAAATTATCAAATGCACTAAAGGAATTTTTATAAGCATAAAAACACATTAAATGTACACAATAAGTTATTTTACATGCATAAAGACAAATTAAATATATAAAATAAGTTATTTTATAAGCATATAAAAATAATCACATGCACCAGAGTGATTTTACATCCATGAAAGCAAATTAGATGTACAAAAGAGATGTGACTTGTATAAAAGCAGCTTCAGCTCAGGGTGTGTGTGGGTGTGGGTGTGTGTGTGTGTGTGTGTGTGTGTGTGTGTGTGTGTGTGTGTTTGTGCGTTCATTAAACCGAAACTAACACAGTAACCCGTCAGACAGGCTGCTTATATGCGCACGTTTGGACTTTCTGCTCAATAATATCATTTCAGTAAAGTATTTTGTGCAAATTCCAAATAATGAACTCATATTATCAGCAAATGACCATCAGACACCATTATACAGTCAGTTAAACTGCGCTGATGTTTGTTTTAAGCTCATACTAGCGATCTCACACCCAACATTTAGAGTATTTACAAACAATAAACTGTTATAGTTCATTTAAAACCATCTTTACCTCATTAGTTGATAATAATAATGTGATTAATGAACTAAACTACAGAAACACACACACACACACACACACACAGATCAATCCTGCAGCTTCCTCGTCCAGCTTCTCCTCATCTCACCTGTGTTTCTGCGGTCAGTCTCCTGTCTTTACACTGCTGTTGTTTTAATCCTGTTCTTCTCTGTCTGTCTTGATGTGACTGATCTCAGATATTAACCATATCAATCTGCAAATTCACTCTCTCTGATCCTGCTGCTGCACTTCCGTGTTTTGCTCCGCTGTTTTTGTTGTTGTTTTCATCACTTCCGGTTCCTGCAGCTCGCCAGAGTGACCACATTTATTAGCACAAAGCTGAAGACGTAAACACACTTTAATATTAACGTAAAGTGTCTGAAATGGAGTTTTAAGAAATGTACGTTTTCTCCTGCATGAGTTATTCTGTCTGTGTGGATGATGTGATGTGCAGAGTGTCCACCAGAGGGAGACACAGTGAAGGAGACCTGCATCGGACACCAAAAGGTAAACATCAGGTCTGAGTTTCATACATTCACTCATTCATTCTGCTCTGGCGTAGCGCCTTCATTTATCAGAGGTTGACACAGCACAATGAACCGCCAACTATTACAGCATATGTTTTATGTAGTCCAGACACATGCGCTATAGGGGAACTGACCAAGGCCATGGTGTATAAGTGTGTAAATAAGTGTGTATGGGTGTTTCCCAGTACTGGGTTGCAGCTGGAAGAGCATCCACTGTGTAAAACATATGCTGAAATAGTTGGCAGTTCACTTCACTGTGGCTACCCCCTGATGAATAAAGGGACTGAGCTGAAAAGAAAATGAATGAATGAAGCATAATGTCAACATAAACACAGGGAAGTGGAGTGTCCCGCAGGAAAGGTCTGTTTACGGTTATTAACTGTATATAATACGCTGTTAAGCAGGTTACAGACCTTTTACTGCAGTATTTTTACAGTTTCTTACCGCTGTAATTACAGTCATCCTTACAGTGACGGGTGTGTTTCTCTGGACACTGTGTCAGCGGACAGCTGTGGAGAAAGGCAATACTACATACATGGAAAAAGGGTTGTTTTTACACACACACACACACACACACACACACACACACACACACACACACACACACACACACTGCTGTAGAGTGTGTTAATCTGTCAGATGAGCTCATGTGGCCTTCAGATCATTGTGTGAGGATTTCAGACTGAAGGAGAGTCGAAAATAGACATCAAACACCTCTGAGTCTCCATGGAGACGCAAAACACACACACACACACACACACACACACTGATGGAGCAAACATCTGCTTATGCCATACGCCTCGGGCTGTGTGTGTGTTGTGTGTGTGTGTGTTTTATGAATGAGTAGAGAAAGAGTGTATGTCTGTCTGTGCTTGAGTGTGTGTGTGTGTGTGTTTATTATGAATGGGGAGTGTGTGTGTGTTATGAATGGTGTGTGTTGTTTTTGTTATGAGTGTGAGCGCGTGCTTTCGTGTGTGTGTGTTTACAGAAATCTCCTGCTCTGTGGGCTTTTCCTCGTCTGTGTTTTCCATTATCTCAGACATTTCCTAAACACTTTCCTCCGCAGCGAGCCATAACACACACACACACACACACACACACACTCCAGCATTACTCAGAGCACTTCAGCAGATAAGCTCTGCAGACTGAGCTGTGTGTTGTTCTGTTTAACTCTGTAAAGTCCTCTTCAAGTGTCCTCTTCTCTCAGCTCGCAGGGTTTCTGCATCAGCTTCTCCGCTGTTTGTCTCCAGAATCCTGTAATCAGTGATGAGGCGAAGCTTCTCCAGAACAACTCACAATCACAAACCTGCCATGAGAATATGAAGCATCCACTCACCAAATGTCCCCGCAAGTATAGCAATACCAGTGTTTTTTGACCTCGTGGGGACATTTTCTCTGTCATGGAAATAAGCTGTGTGTGTGTGTGTGTGTTTAAGGTTATGTTTAGGGTTAAGCACTCAGTTGTGAAGGTTAAGTGTGCATGTGTGTGCTCATGTGTGTGTGTGTGTGTGTGTGTGTGTGTGTGTGAGAGTGTTCATTTTTCTTCCTCTTAATCCCTATATTAATCTGGGGTTTCGACTGCCAACTATTCCAGCATATGTTTTACACAGCCAATGTCCTTCCAGCTGCAACCCAGTACTGGGAACGCCCATACACACTTATTCACACACACAAACCCTAACCCTAACCCATGTGTTTGGACTGTGGGGGAAACCCACACCAACACAGGGAGAACATGCAAACTCCACACAGAAACTAGAACCAGCGACTGTGTATGTGTGTGTGTGTGTGTGTGTGTGTGTGTGTGTGTATGTGTGTTTGTTTAAGTTTAAGTTTAGTGTAAGGTTTAGGGTTACGCACCCTGATGTGAAGGTTAAGTGTGTGTGTGTATGTGTGTGTTTGTATATGTGTGAGTGTGTGTGTGTATGTGTGTGTGTGTGTGTGTGTGTGTGTGTGTGTGTGTGTGTGTGTGTGTGTGATATGAGGGCTGCATGGCTGTGTGTGTGTGTGTTACTCTGAGTCAGCTGGTGTGTTTACAGCAGGTCTGTTGATCAGTGGAGACTCATGCTGGACTCTGAAACCTGAAACTGAGGGAGGAGAAACATCAAGAATCAGACAAAGACTGCAGAGACTTTCCCTTCACACAACAGCACACTTACAGACGGAGACACACACACACACACACAGAGAGAGAGAGAGAGAGAGAGAGACGCTGCTCAATGTGTAAAGAATGCAGGTTTGAGGCTGAGAGAGACAGAAGGAGAGCGAGATCCAGAGACAAACAAAGAGACGCAGAGAAACAGACAGAGTGTGTGTGTGTGCGTGTGAGGAGGGCAGTGAGTGTAGTGTAGTGTAGTGTAGTGTAGTGTAGTGTAGTGTAGTGTGTTGAGACAGTAAAGCGAG